AAAATATTTTAAAAATTACAAAATAATTTTTATTGATAAATTTATTTTATTTTATTTTTTATTTTTTGGTATTAAAGTAACCTCTTTAGTCTTTTAACTTTTATTAATCACTTATTGGTATTATAGCTTAATGAATCACTACAGAAGAGTATACAATTGGCTATATATATAACTTTTCTATATTACCTATTTAAGAAGTTCACCTAAAGGTTGCTTATTAATTGTCATATCTAACACCTCTGCTTGTGTGTTTTATTTTAAACTCTCTAAATCTGTAATCTGTATTAACTTACTGAATTATACCTAGATGTCCAGATCATTATTTCAATCTTAGAACTAATTTATTCTTAAGGTAAACCCTTCAAAACCTTCTATATCTATTTTTATAGCTGACCTAGATATCATTATAGCAAAACTAACACTTGTAGTTAGTGCTTAATCATTAAACTGCTATGATCTTGTAGAGTTTACTTAGATCCCAGCATCTACTTTATAGCATAACACTAGTATTTTAGTATACTCTTGCCTTTTATCTTGTCTTTTTATCAAACTTTCAATTCAGATAGCCTATATAGGACTATGACCAATCTATCAGTATATCAGGTCAAGCTAATATCCTTTTTCTCCAGTTTGTTCTGATAGTCTAGTTGGTGATATCTTCAAAACTCCTAACCCAAAGGTTATTGCCTATCTGGCTAATACAACCAAGTACTAGATCTTAATATCCATTTCACTAGGCTAGCCTTTACAGTAAGGCTAATGAAAATCCAGCTACCTCTCTACTCAAGTCTTTCTAAATAGACTTTTTGTTACCCAATTTCAACAGATTTACATAGCTATAAGAACTTATCTAGTATTTGTACCACCTAATTTGTTAGTTTGCATTTTTCTGTATAACTTTAATATTGTACAGATGCTTCATGACCTGCTAGTTATGCTGGTGCAACTGTTATTACAGATATCCTAACCTAATTGTTAGTAACAGTTAAGAAGGCAGGTTCAAATAAGTAATAAAACTTTAATTAGCTTTAATAATCAATAGTCTGCATTAAATTTTATGTGATGTTATCTTAATTTCTCATAGTTGATTTTTGAATTATATATAATGAATGTTATAAAGTCTTTTCTTCGTATATATAATTCTCAATAAGAAAAAGCATGAATAGAGACTTAAAAGAGTTATAAGAAGAACATGTATAACATTCTTTATTAGTAATTTTATTAAAGTTCATATATTGCAAAAACTTGAAATTTTTCAGATCATTAAGATTGTTAGGTTTTTTACTTCATAGAAGCAATTGTTGAATCTAAGGAGGTTTAATTTTACTAAAAAAATAGCAAAATAGATTTAGCATTTAAAACTTATAATCAAAACAGAATTCTTTGTTAAGTATAATCTGGTATTGTGTTAGAGTAATGTAATTACTAAGCTTGTATTTTTTTTTTGACAAGTTCTCTAGATCTAACTAACATGAATATAAAATAAGTAATTTTTTTTGTTTCTTGTAAGTAGGTTATAATAATATTTTTGCTATTTAAGAATAAAAAATAAGCAATAATAAAAAAACCACTATCACTAAGACCAATGATAGTAGCACCCCTAAGACCAACAATAGTAATACTCCTAAGATCAATAATAATAATGTCACTACTATGAGTAATAATATCATTACTTCTATAACTAATGACAATAACTTCTCTGAGACCTATTATGTCTTTTCAACACTATTCAATCTAAAACCTAGCCAAAGAATACCTAATTTATATAATAATAGAAGAAACAGAAGTGATAAGTAAAACTCAGCTCTGCAAATCAGATCAAAAAATGATAATATAGTTAGCTATACTAACTTTTTTTTTCAAATTTATGAGAAAAAATTCTTATGCAGTAAAATTTTATTTAAATCAGATAATTTGATCTATAGTATCTTATAAGATGATGAGTATTATAAAGAGAGAGGTGATTCTGAATACCACTTTCAGAGCCATTTATAAGAAGACATATAGAAAATAATAACTAAGATAATATGAATCCTGATAAGGCCTAAGAAGTATTAGATCAAATATAAATACTACCAATCTGACCTGTTAAGAGTGCCTCTTTTGGAACATATGTTTTTTTTATTTTTTGTTTTTTTTTAAAATTAAGGTGAGGCCTTGCTTATATCTTTATTAATAATTTAAAATAGTTACATGTATATATGCTATGACTGAAGCCAA